TATTATGAACCGGAGCCAAATTTACTTATATAAGAATACACAAATGGTGTTAGTTCCGAGTTATGAATAAGCTTAAAGATGTAGCTCAAATTTTCTTGAAAATATCGTTTTTTCTTGTCATCTCTTATGTTCTGCAATCATTTTAAACATCTCATATATATATTGGCGTCTGAACTTCGGTTATCAAAGGTCTTTAAATCATGTTTTCGAATATATATACAAACTATTATGAAGAATTGAAATGGCTAACTAGCATGGCTGTGCCTTGATAGAAGCACATAAAACATTTGCTTCGAGGTCATACAAGATGATACTGTGCGCATGCACGAGATGAATATTTTATACTATAGTTTTTTCGGTTTCAACATTTTGCAACACTACAATATTTATCGAATGTAAAATGACCAATACAATTTTTTGTCTCTTTAATATATCATATGCATGGGCGTTCGAGGGTCCGTTGGTTTCGGTTCGATTGATTCGGATTTTCAGAATTTTCAATATTATGCTCTTCATTCTCATTCGGTTTTTACTAATTAACAGAACGGATTCGGTAAGATTCCTTCCGGGTTTGGTTTGGATGAGATTGTAACCAATATCTAAAATTGTCCCAAAAAGTATTTTGAAACCTAAAAATTGACAAAAAGTCAGAATATTTAAATTATTAATAAATCTAATTTAGAATTAGTGAAACTATCTAAACTAGGCATGGCATTCAGAGTCCCAATCGGGCTTCGGTTTGGTCCAATCGGATTTCAATTTTTCGGATTTATCAAAATTAACCCCATTCAAATTATATGAAAGTTCGGTTCAGGATCGGTTAGGGTTCTATCGGATTTGGGTCGGGGTTAGTAAATTTCAAAGAACTGGTATAACCCATTGTACTTTCGGTTTCATGTCCCAATCGGTTCTTTGGTTTAAAAGTACCCAATTTATACTTAATTTGTAGCAAAACATATGAAAATCGATTATTCGAATTTAAAGTACATGATTTATATGTATCTTGTAATCAATACATAAGTAAAATTGATTTTAAATAAATAAGAAAATAACATCAAATATAATCATTCAAAATCAAACGAAAGGTAAATATAGTTACTGATAGAAAGAAAACCAAATAAATGAAGACATAAAAACGAAAACCAAGTTCTCATGAAATGAGAACATTATTCAGTGGAAAAAGCAAAAATCTAAAAACGTCATGCTTCAACCACCACCTACAACCATCAACTTTCATATAAAAAATAATTATTTTAGATGTTCAATAATATCTTAAAGGAATTTGGATATATATTATTTGAAATCATGTTTGGTACAAGTTATTTTTGAGATTTTGAATGTTTCAGATGCTATCGGATATCCATTTAGGTTCGTGTGGGAACCAAAATTTGCATTGTCGATTTCTGTTGAATTAGGAATGTAGGGTAAACCCTAGTTTCTCAAAGGTCCCGGTTATCTGTTGAACCACTCTAAGCAATCAATAACAAGAAGTAAAAAGACGATAATATGAATACGAATTAAAAAGAGAGTAAAAAGAAGTCTTATTCCAATTTTGCGTATGAGCGTTACAACGAGTTAGGAGCCTTGGATACAAGAGCTGATGGCGATTTCCAAATTATAGCAACCAAATACTGTGGAAACCCTAATTGAGACGCAACTCGAATAACAAAAACGAAAAATTTCCTAAATTCTCTAAGTGATAAATTTGCTCTGTCTTTTCATCTCTCGCCTAGAACTTCTTAAATACTCTCTCCAAGGTCGTTTTATGCTTTCCACTCCCGCCCCCCAAGCCGTCATAGCCCAAAAATGGAGATTTTCCATTTTTCCCGATCTTCATGATTATCTTCGGAATTTTGACATTTATCCGTGGAACTTGACATTTATCTTCTCTTGCGGGCCAAGGATAAACCGCCACATGATATATGGTCTTTTTAAATAAAACCATAAGTGGGCTTCTAGTTACGTTCTAGGCCTCTTTGGGCCGTATTTCGACTCGAAATGTTTTTACGGTTTTTTTCGATAAAACAAGCTTTCCGCGATTTTTATCGTAAAGTCTGAATGATAACTTTGATTGATAAGGAACGAGTGGTAGTTCAATTGTGGAATTCAAGAGATTGTATCGAAGAATAAAAGTGAATGTATGGATTTGTATTTACATCGACCGTCGGGATGGTCCGGTCGCAACGTAGCAGAAACTACCTATTTAAACATTAATTTGTATACATAAAAGTATATACATTAGAGTAGGCACATAAATTAAAACAAAATCCATTTTGTTGATTTACAATCATGTTTTTGTTAATTAAATCAAAACAACCATTTTATTTATTGTATATGGTATATATTAAACGTTATTGATAGTGACATAGATATATAAAATAAATTTTAATATATATTTATTATTGCCACTTCCTACTCATATGATTTATTAAAATTTGTATATTTTGCTCTAACACAAATTTAAACCGTTAATCACAAAAAAATTATGTGAGATTGTTCCAATATAAATTTCAAAATTAAAATATTAAGATTTCAATAAATTTTTACTGCAAATTTTTAAATTAATATATTTATATAATATATAATTTAATTTAAATGATATTAACTTATATATATATATATATATATAAAGATGAATATCTATTAATGAGACTTTATATTCATATGATTGATAATCGTTTGTATCTTGCTTTAACAAAACAATTAAACCATTAATCAAAAAAATTTGATGTGAGAATTTTACCATTTTAAACTTATAATCGTTTTTACAAAATTCTAAATATAGCGTATAGGAAAAAATAGATTTTGTTATTATTTTATGCTTAATGTGATTGTTTAATTTCTTTTTAATAATATAAAATTAAACACAAAAGAGAAAGGTTACAAAAATTGTTATCAAATTGTATTACTCATAATCATTAATTTTCATATATATATTAATCATATTAGGTAATTATGTACATTTTATTTTAAATAAAAAATATTCTTGTTTACACTACTTACTAATTTGATAGTTAGTTTAAGACAAAGTATAATATATAATTATATGAACCAAAATATTTTTATAAGAATTCTTAGAATCGTCTTGGTTATGACACGTGACTACGAAAACATATTGTAACGCTTTAGGATTTTGATTAATACTAGATCATGATCCGCACACCTGCACGGATTTTATTTTTTTGGATGTATTCTATATAATTTAGTTTTATATAGTTTCGATTTTGTCCAATTTTATTTTATGTTTAAAGAACAATATCAAAATTGTCTTTGTATTAATAGTGTCAAGTAATGTATTATGTAGATGCAACCATGCAATGAAAACACTAATTTTGTATGTTTGTTTGAAGTACAAAATCAAATTCAAATCTAACTGTTTGTGTTAAAAAAAAGTTGAGAGTTTAGTTACTTTTGATTTTTAGAATTTTTGGCCTTGACTTTTATTTTATAGGTTATGTCAAATTTAAACTTAACTTTTTGGTCTTAACTTTGTAAGCGCATAATATTTTATAATGAAAAATTTCATAAATAACTTAACAAATGTTTTGGTAATTTGAAAGAATTTATGTATTTAAAATATTTTTGTATTTAAATCAGTATTTTTAAATTCAACCCGACCCGCGGTTAAATTGGTGATCTGATTCAATTTGTATTTTTAAAAATATTTATATCTAAAAAATCCCTAAAAACCGAGACTAACCGATTGAACCGATGGAAAACTGATATGTAACATTTAAACATGTATAAGTTTATTTTTGTAGTTCTATATACTATTTGAATTTTTATTTTTATCTAAGTAATTTGAAGAAAATTGTGAGAAATTATTAAAAAGAGTGAGATTTCATATTTTGTATTGTTTGGACATAAGATTAATTTTAGTGTTGTTTGGAAACATGGATAGTAGTATAAAGAAATGAGTATATTTTATTGTTTCGAAACGTGGATAGTAGTATAAAAAAATATATATATTGTTTGGAAACATGAATAATAGTATAAAAATATATATTATAATTTAATGTAGGTTGATTTATAAAATAGAAAAATATATTTAATTTAAAAATTTACAAAATAAATGTTACGGAGCCAAATATTCCACAAAATTTACCTAGCCACTTTTTTGAATTTTGAAGATAATGGGCCGACATTTTTTTAATTCTAGACTAATATTTTTCAAGCATGACTCTGCTAACTAGGCTTGGGTCTGAACTCACCTAAACTGTGAGTTAACTTCAGCGGTCCTTCCAAATTTGATGTGGATGGTAATGGAACGATCCACTACTTCGACTCTATCTCTGCAACGACGATGTATAGATACAAACTGGATCCAGATGAACATGGATACAAAGCAATTCAACAGTTTGATAAAGACAACGGCTGGTAAGTTTCTTCCATTTTTCAATTTACGAATCAATCTCCATCGACCATTTCGTGTGTCAAGAGAATCAAGATTCTATTATGAAGCACTCACTAATGGTATTAACTTGGGTTAAACAACACACACATAACTAGGAAATAGGGATGAGTTGGAAAATGCGATGAAGGAATATGGAATGGGACTCGAATTTGAGGAATTTATGTGCGATGATGAGAAGCCCTCATCGTCCTTTGTTTACTTTCTCAAAGGCATTCAGAAGAAATAGTGTCAGTTTATTCTTCTCTTGAAAACTGAGTTTGAGATGATGAGCATGTCCTCAGAATCTCCTTAATCCCTTTCTTTTAAATTCTGTAAAATTGATCATGTAAAAATATCAATTAAATTCTTTTAAAAAAAGAGTGATTCTTTCTTTACTTTGTAAGTAAATACTCAATTATAAGCTAAGAATCTCCGAAAACTGTATCAGTAAACAAAAAATTCTAACAGAAAATGACAAAGACTATAAAGCTGATAAAAGAATAATAAAAGAAACTGTTACAAAAAAAAAAAAATAATAATTATAAAAGAAACAAAAACAAAGACCAAAGACATGTCCGAACATCATCAAAAGTCTTTCAAACCTTTCTTCATTTCAAAACCCAAGAAACATAAAATCTCGGACGATCCCCATTCAAACGCTAATGGGTTGTTGCGGCAGTAAAAACCTACCACCATCGGATCTAGTCAGTGAACGAGAGTCAGGGACAATACTGGGGAAGCCATTAGTAGAGTTCAACAAGCTTTACAAACTCGGTAAAGAACTAGGCAAAGGTGGTTTCGCCACAACTTACATGTGCCAAGAAATCTCCACAGGCCACAGCTTCGCCTGCAAATCCATACCCAAGAGGAAGCTAACGAGCCAAGAAGACAAAGAAGCCGTGAAGACAGAGATTGAGATAATGAAAGAGCTTTCAGGAGTTTCCAACATCGTACAGTTTCATGGGTCTTACGAGGACAAGAAATTCGTACACATCGTGATGGAGCTTTGTCGTGGTGGTGAGTTATTCGACAGGATTGATGCTTTGGTCAAGTCTCATAGCTATTACTCGGAGAAAGATGCTGCTGGGATCTTCAAGTCGATTATGAACGCTGTCCAGATTTGTCATTCAATGAATGTGGTTCATAGGGATCTCAAGCCAGAGAACTTCTTGTTCTCTAGTGATGATGAAGAGAGTGCTGAGCTCAAAGCCATCGACTTTGGTTGTTCTGTTTACCTCAAAGAAGGTTTATATTTGCAAAAGTTGCTACTTTTACAATGCATTGAGGTTTAGGTTTTGATTGTATTTTGGATATATGCTCTTTTTAGATAGTTTGATACTTAGATTGGTATTTTCAACAAGTACAGGAGTGGAATTGAAGGAGAAAGTGGGCAGTGATTACTACATTGCTCCTGAAGTGTTAAGAGGGGAAAGCTATGGGAAAGAAATAGACATTTGGAGTGCAGGTGTTATATTGTACATCCTTCTCAGTGGCAGCCCTCCATTTGGAAATGGTAAAGGAGCTTAAAGATATAACTAAAGACTTAGATTTGTTCTTCTTTTTTTCTTGGGGTGGTTTAATCTGTGATTGTTTGTTTTGTTATATTGTAGATGATGAGATTAAGGAAGGAAGAATTGATTTTGATAGCCAACCTTGGCCTAATATATCTACGGGTGCAAAATACCTTATCAAGCAGATGCTCAACAAAAACCAGAAGGAACGAATCACTGCTGCAAAGGTTCTTGGTAAGCCTCTATGTTTGTGATGTTAGAAAGCATGATATGTTAGTGTTTGTTGGGTGTTGTGTACTTCTTACAAGAGTCCAGAATGAGCTTTTAGTCCATTGCTTATGCCTTAGAATGACACTGTAAGATTGTTAATGTCCTTATTTTGTTCTGTCTGAAATGTTGTTGTGGTTTATAGAACATCGTTGGATCCTGAGCGAAGCTTCGGATAAGCCTATTGATGGTGTTGTTCTGTCCCGTTTGAAGCAATTCCGAGCTATGAACAAGCTTAAGAAGCTAGCTCTTAAGGTATAAGAAAGTAGCTAAAGTCTATTTCATCATCAATTCTGCATCTCCCCTGTTTTCTTTTGCCATCTCACATTGCCTGAAAACTCAGAATGTGATTTGTGTGTTTGGTTTGCAGGTTATAGCAGAGGGTCTATCAGAAGAGGAAATCAAAAGTCTTAAAACCATGTTTGAGAGTTTGGATACCGACAAAAGCGGGTCAATCACTTATGAAGAACTCAAAACTGGGCTGAACAGACTTGGCTCTAAACTCCCTGAAGCTGAAGTTAAACAACTCATGGAAGCTGTAAGTACTCATAGACCATCTCTTTTGTTGATCTTGTAGAGAGAATTCAAACACACACAAGGATATATACTTTTTTTTGTCAGGCTGATGTGGATGGTAATGGAACAATAGACTACACAGAGTTTATCACAGCGACAATGCATAGACACAGGTTGGAACGGGATGAACATTTGCACAAAGCGTTCCTGCACTTTGATAAAGACAACAGTGGGTAAGTTAGTGAAGATTTGTAATAAATGTAGAAAAATAGAATGGTCAAAACATCAATGTATATTGCTTTGTTTGTATGATAGGTACATAACCAAGGATGAATTGGAGATAGCCATGAAGGAGCATGGCATGGGAGATGAAGCTTGTGCCAAAGAAATTATATCAGAAGTTGATAAAAATAATGTAAATATCGCACTTCACATTTCGCTTTTGTCCCGGGTTTAACATCTTACCCGGTTCTGAATCTTGTAATGAATAATGCGCAGGACGGAAGAATATCCTATGAGGAGTTTTGTGCTATGATGAGAAGTGGCAACTTGCAGCCACAAGGGAAACTTATTCATCATTGATCATAAGCTCTTGTTTATCACTCGCGGTTTGGTTAAACCGGAGAAGAAGAATTAAACCAGGGAAAAAACGAGGTGAGAGGTAGTTGATACTGAAACTTGTGTTACATATGCCTTCTTGCAATCAATCAATCCACAATAACCAATTCATTCTTTACACAACCTGAGATTGGTAGCTATTATTACACTCTTGACTTGAGGCAAGTAAGGTAGACAAAATAAAGAAAAACTCAAAAGTAGGAGACCAAATAGCACAAAACGAATCACAGAATAGACCGAGATTGGTAGCTCCTTAAGAGAGATACCTACATTATATATAAAAAAAAATACTGTATAAATCTGAATATTTAAAGACTGTTAACAAGACGACAAAGTAAAAAGACCGTTGAAAAGAAAAAAGACTACGAATATTTAAAGACCACATGTCAGTCTACTAAATAATTTACTCAACCATACGAGAAGACTTTCACAATCTCTCCTAAAGTCTTCATCTTCATATCAACTCTAAATCTCAGATCAATGGGTTGCTTTTCCAGTAAAAGCCTACACCTACCAGTGAAGAAAACCATACTTGACAAACCAACCGAGGACATCAAGAAGCTTTTCATCTTCCATGAGAAACTCGGTGAAGGGCAATTCAGCATCACTCGCAAATGCGAGGAGAAGTCTACTGGTAAGCTCTACGCCTGCAAGTCCATACTCAAGACGAAGCTAAAGAGTAAAGAAGATGAGATCTCTGTGAGGAGAGAGATCCAGATCATGAAGCATTTGTCTGGACAACCAAACATTGTTGAGTTCAAGAGTGTTTACGAAGACCAAGACTCTGTACACTTGGTGATGGAACTTTGTGGTGGTAAAGGCTTATTCGACAAGATGGCTAGTTCTCAGGGGCATCCTGAGAAAGATGTTATTGGAATCATCAGGCAGGTTGTGAATGTTGTGCAGGCTTGCCATTTCATGGGTGTGATGCATCGTGATATCAAGCCTGAGAACTTCTTGTTTTCGAGTAACGATGAGAATGCTATGCTCAAAGCAATCGACTTTAGATGTGCTGTCTATATAGAAGAAGGTGATCTTTGTTGTGATATGTTCATGTATGCCATATTAGTTAGTTAGGTTCTTATATTCATATGATTGATGCATTACAAATACAGGAGAAATACACAATGATCGCGTTGGGAGTAGTTATTATGTTGCTCCTGAAGTACTCCACGGAAGTTATGGGAAAGAAGCTGATATATGGAGTGCAGGGGTTGTTTTGTACATCCTTCTATGCGGCCAACCTCCCTTTGTGACCAGTAAAAGAAACTTAATTCTTTCTTGATTTGTTTCTTCTTCTTGGGGTGTGGAAAAAATGTAACTTATATGTGTATATTGTAGAACCTGAGGAACAGATGCTCTATGAGATTCAGAATGCTCCAATTGATTATGAGAGCCATCCATGGCCCTGTATATCTTCAGCGGCCAAAGATCTTGTCAAGAAGATGCTTATCAGGAACCCCAAGAAACGAATCACTGCTGCAAAGGTTCTTGGTAAGTCTTTCTTTTATTTTGTGCTCTTGTTCCGTCTGGAATGCTTTACCTAGCCTGGACATTTTATCCAAAACTCGAAAAACCGAACCGAATCGAAAAGTACAAACTGAAACCGGATCAAAATTTACAAAAACCCAAATGATTCCTATTTTTTAAACCCAAAAGATCGAAACCAGAATCAAATTGAGAACCCAAATATTCAAATACATTTTCTGTTATATTTAATTATAAAATAACTATATATCTGAAATATAATTATTAACGAATTTTTTTTCTTAAAAAAAAACAAATAATTTGAATTGTTTTGAGTTTTTTTTTTTTTTTGCGTTTTACACATTTTTGGATTTTAGTCGGTTTTGGGGTTTAAACTTGCCCAAATCCGAGCTTGGGTAATTTTGTTCTAGTTCAGATTTCATTAATATAAATAGAAAACTGATTAGAATCTGACTAGACCCGAACGGATCAATCCAAACAATTACCGGTTCTTTAGTGAATCCCAATCACCCCACCCCAATAACCCAAAATCCGTATATCCCGGCCCAAATCCAAACCGTAAATCCGAATGCCGGGAACTAGCTTTACTAATCTCTTTGTTGTTTATAGGACATCCTTGGATCACAGACGTAGAAGCTTCTGATAAGCCTATTGACAGCGTTGTTTCAACACGTTTGAAACAATTTGGTAACATGAACAAGCTCAAGAAGGTAGCTCTTAAGGTAAAAGTCTTTAGAGCTAAGTATTTCGAATATTTTTCTTAAACATCTTACTAGTTTCATGAGTGATCTCTCTTCCTATCTTTGCAGGTTATGGCAAAGAATCTATCGGAAGAGGAAATCAAAGGTCTTAAAACAACGTTTAGTAATATTGATACAGATAAAAGTGGCACAGTCACTCATGAAGAACTCAAAAGAGGGCTAACTACACTTGGCTCTAAAGTCTCTGAAACCGAAGTGAAGCATCTCATAGAAGCCGTGAGTTATTATTGCAGTCTCTTTACTTTTTTCGTATCAGTAGAATTAACCAACACATGATGATGACTTTTCAGGCTGATGTGGACGGTGATGGAATAATCGACATAGACGAGTTTATCTCTGCGATGTTGGATAGATTCAAACTGGACCAAGATGAACATGTTCACCAAGCATTCCGACACTTTGACAAAGACAACGACGGGTAAGTTCAGTGGTTGCTTTAGACAAATCAATCATACTTGTTGTCTATAGAATCAAGTTAAGTATGTCTGTCTTATCATATCATTTTTAACAATAGGCGAATAACGAGGGATGAGTTGGAGATAGCAATGCAGGAGTATGGTGTCGGAGATGAAGATAGCATCAAACAAATTACATCAGAAGTTGATACCAATAATGTAAGTTAGTCACAGTACACTGATACACCATCAGAGATTTAAACTGGTTATGAAATCTTTTAACGACCTCTCTCTTGCAGGATGGAAGCATAGACATCGAGGAATTTTGCACAATGATGAGAAGTACAAGGACATAGACACAAATGAAAATTATTCCGGTCAGTTGATCATATGTTGTTCTTGTGTTCACCCGAAATAACAATTCAGGGAAGAAGAGATTATTAACACCTGACCTGATTAAACCGAGGTGAGAGTAGTTGATCTTGAGAGTTGAAACTTCGCTCCTTGCAAGCAATCCCACTTGTAATTTTATTTAGAAGCTTATCATATAAAGAGTAATGTATTTTCCTTAAAAGTGTGTGTAAGGAATTTAGTATGGTCTTATATTTAAGGTATGTTCTTAACATAGTTTCCATAATTTAGAAGTTAAAATGTTCATTCAAATCCAAAAATGTGTAATATACCAGTACAAATAACTGGTTAAATTATCTCAGAAAAGTGAGAAACACAGATACTAAAATTGAGATCTTACCAATTACATAGACCTTGATTGGTAAAATATTAGCATAAACATAATGTTTATTGTATCCATTCAATATTTATAACAAAAGCATTTAAATTAACATTTACTAGATGATAATGTTCTCAAAATGTTCTTAAATCAATGTTCTCATATGATGTTTTTGATAGAGCATTTGCAATTGAAATATATAAAAATAAAAAATAATTATATAATTTATTTTACTTATAATATAAAAGTTATGTTTCTATCCAAAAAAAAAATTTATACTTTTTAAAATAAAGGTAGAAATTAACTATTTTATTTTTATGAATAATATTCCAAATTTAAATAAAATATAATTTATGTAATTACATATATTATTCATTATTTTTAATAACAAAACATAAAATAATATATATTTATATAATATAAATATAAATATAAACATATCTATATATTATAATTATACATGTATTCATATTCTTTAGAAATAAATAAATTATATATCACATATTAGTTTTTAGGATAATTTGTAAATGAATATCATTTACTGCTATATGAATAAATAAAAATTTATGATAATTGTATATATATAAATATATGTAATTAATTTATTTTATTTAATAATATGAAAAAATTATGTTTATATCCAAAACAAATTATATATTTATAAACATAAATTTTAAAATTAAAATATTTTAATTTTGAAAATAATAATAATAATAGTAGTAGTAATAAACATTTACAATAAGATTCATTATTTCAATAAAAATATATTATTAATATATATTATTTAATAAATATATTATATACTAATTTAATTTTAAAATTGTATACTGATATTGTTTTACCAATCAATTTATTGAAAACCTTACTTAGAACATACATCTTATACATCATAATGCTTCTATAACATATTGTTTCTACATCATAATATTACCCGTAAAAGTATGCTAATGTCTCAGTCTCAGAAAATTATGGGAACTCTAGGATTAAATTGCATAAAAGTATAACTTTTTCTGATTAAAACAAATCAAACCGAAACACATAAATCTCCATCACTTGTTATTAGATATTACCTCTTGGGAGAGACCTCACAAAGCATTGGTTGGCTGATGAACAAAACAAGTAGATATGACACCAATATTCATTTTTGAAGATCTCGGATTCTCCACTTATACAACGCCACGTCAACAAAATGGGTCCTACATTCAAGACTTCAAAATCAACAAACGAGAATAAACCTTATCTTCAAACCTCATCCATCGCCTTCTCTTCCCTCCACTCAATTCCTGTTCTTTCCTTTCTTTTCATTCTTACAATCAAACCACATAGATAAGGTTAAACCAAAACCCTGTCTGAAGAAAAACAAAAACTTGTCTTCTCCCTGAACAAAGATCAAGAACAATGGCTTGCAGTAATCTAACAACAATGTGGGTTTCATCAAACCCATCTCTTTCAGACTCCTCCTCCTTGTCCTTCCGATCCGTTCTCAACCCACTTCCTCTCCCAAACCACAACACGTCTCCTTCAAGATCATCCTCCGTTGCTCCAATCCAATCCTCCCTTCGTGAGCTCAGAGACCGTATCGATTCAGTCAAAAACACTCAGAAGATCACCGAAGCGATGAAGCTCGTCGCTGCAGCAAAAGTCAGGAGAGCTCAAGAAGCTGTCGTCAACGGACGACCCTTCTCAGAAACCCTAGTCGAAGTTCTTTACAACATCAACGAACAGCTTCAAACCGATGATATCGATGTTCCCTTAACCAAGATCAGACCGGTTAAGAAAGTTGCACTCGTTGTCGTGACCGGAGACCGTGGATTATGCGGTGGGTTCAATAACTTCATCATCAAGAAAGCAGAGGCGAGGATCAAGGAGCTTCAAGGGTTAGGTCTTGACTACACAGTCATTAGCGTGGGGAAGAAGGGAAACTCTTATTTCCTCCGTCGTCCGTACATCCCCGTTGACAAGTACCTCGAGGCCGGAACTTTACCGACCGCGAAAGAAGCTCAAGCTGTTGCCGATGATGTCTTCTCTCTGTTTATAAGCGAGGAGGTCGACAAGGTCGAGCTCTTGTACACAAAGTTTGTGTCTTTGGTCAAATCAGAACCCGTGATCCACACGCTACTGCCTCTATCTCCCAAAGGTGAGATTTGTGACATTAATGGGAACTGTGTGGACGCTGCTGAAGACGAGCTCTTCAGGTTAACGACCAAAGAAGGGAAGTTAACGGTCGAGAGAGAGACTTTTCGGACACCAACTGCTGATTTCTCACCGATCTTGCAGTTCGAGCAAGACCCTGTTCAGATTCTTGATGCTTTGTTGCCTTTGTATCTTAACAGTCAGATTCTTAGGGCGTTACAGGAGTCTTTGGCGAGTGAGCTTGCAGCTAGGATGAGTGCGATGAGTAGTGCTTCGGATAATGCGTCGGATCTTAAGAAATCGCTTTCGATGGTTTATAATAGAAAACGTCAAGCTAAGATTACTGGTGAGATCCTTGAGATTGTTGCTGGAGCCAATGCGCAGGCTTGATCTGTTTGAAATCTCGTTGATATGAGCAGACTCTTTTTATATATGTATATCATTTTCGGTCGTATAATCTCATCTAGAACTCTTATGATCTTTTTATAATCATGCAATTACAAACATAATGTGGCTCTATGTATTTTGGTCTTTCATTGGATAAATGATTAAGAAAAAACTTTGTGATGACTTTGTGAAGCTTTGCTAGGATCTTTGATTTGAAACAGTTCTATTTGATTTTTTTTTTAATCTGTTACCGTCGAATAGTCCGGCTTCTTTCTAGTGAGAATTCGGATATACAGTCCCATTTTTGTATGGTTACGTAGTACTGTAGTATCAATTTAGTTCATGGCATAATTCGAATCCAACACGGACGAATTACGCATTGCTCCAACTACCAATAGGCAACCATTGCTTGGTTTCCTATTCAATTGTTCTTGCGAAAGATCTTAGAGATACATGGTCGAGCGATTTAATGCACGTGTTTGCTTTGTTTGGAACCTCGTTGTTATGAGCAGACTCTTTTGTACTCCCTTTGTTATAAAATAATGCATGTTTTAGAATCTTCACACATTAAATTCCAACTATAAATGCATATTTTTTTGTGTGTAAATTACACTGTGAATTGAGATTTAACTTCGAACTTGGATATTGGACTTGTGATTTCGTGCGGCCTAGATGAAATCTTCAGAAGACTGAAGTTTGGGCTGATATCGACTTAAACCAAAAATGAGGTCCAGCATGTGACAGCTTGATCTGGATCAGATATAACAGCAACTCTTCTTCCTCCTTCGTTCACTTGAAATATATATATATATATATATATATAGAGAGAGAGAGAGAGAGAGAGTCATTTACAAAGAAAAGAGAATCAAAACAATAGAGTTTCATCTTACAGTGGTCGATCGGAGCCGAAGGTGGAGATACTCCGGCGACACCTGCAAGAAGAATCTGTTTACCTGTAGTGTATTTTGGAGGTAACAGAGACGCGGCTTCCCCATTGTGTTTAGATCGTGATCTCACTGATTGTTACCAAAACCCTGATTGATTCTAGTGAAGTGACTTGCGAGTTTTGATCTCTCCCCCGAGATTAGAGAGCAAAGGCTGGGTAAATCATTCTTGTGTGCTTCTATTTATGTTTCTCGATCTCGCAAATTCAAAAACACCCAATAATAATCTTGAGTCAAGCCGAAAGTAATTAAGAAAGTGGTATCAGAGATTTAGGTTTGCTTGATTGATAAGGGGATTGGTAGTTCTGACTCGATCTTGAAAGATTGAAGTGTTTAGTGATCTTAGAAGGAACGTTAGTCATGGAGCCTACCTAGGGGAGTTTCAAAATGGAAAAGTTTGCTGGTAAAGGGGATTTTGGAATGTGGAAATACAAGCTATTAGGTCAGCTAAAGATTCAGGGTTTAGCATCTATTCTTGACGAGAATGCAACCTTGTTCAAGGTGTCTGAGAAGCTAGAGAAAGGTGCAACTCCTATTCAAGATCCGGTTAAATTAGCTAAGTAAACAAGAGTCAAGAACTTGCTAGGAACATGTCTAAGTGATATGATCTTAAGGAAGGTGATGAATGAGCCTACATCACTTGAGATGTGGAGAGCTTTTTTTTTATTTTTTTTATTTTTTTGGCACACTGATGTGGAGAGCTTTGGACGTGATTACCATACTAAAACATTGCCAAATCGCATCTATTTGAAGCAACAGTTTGCTAGCTACAAGATGGAAGAGTCTAAAAGTATTGAAAAGAATCTACATGGATTCTTAAGCTGATAAGTGATTTGGAAAGTCTCAACATCAATGTTAGTGATGAAGATCAGGCTATACAAAATTTCACAAGTCAACCACCGCAGTATGAAGCTTTGGTGCATACTCTGAAATATGGTATTGGAAAAGAGACATTGACAGTTAGAGATGTTACAACGTCCATATGCTAAGGAGATTAAACTAAAGCAAAGGGGGCTATTGGGAAACTCAAGATCGAATGGAGAAGGCTGGTATGTGGAATCTCGTGGAAGACAAAGAGACAAGTATGGTCACAATTCTGGAAGGTCTGGAAAGGGAATGTCTAGATCATGAAATGGAAGGTATAAGTCCACGGTCCAACAAGAATACTAACAAAACTTGGTGCTTTATTTGCTGTAAAAATGGTCACTGGAAGAGAGAGTGTCCTGATAATTGGAACAACAATGGAAACAAGAGACCATCTCAAAACTCTGAAAATTTAGCTACAGCGCCAAAACAACCACTAGTATTAACTATGAGTACTCAGAATATGCAAACGAAATGGGTCTTGGACTAAGGCTGCTTATTTCACATAACCTGTCAGAGAAATTTTCTGTTTGACTTCAAAGAAATAGAAGGAGGAAAGGTGTTGATTAAGTCAAAGGTTTGAGAAGATTCAAGTTACTAATGAGGATGGCAGAGAGATAATTCTTACTGAAGTAAGATACATGCCTAACATCAGTAGAAACCTAATCTCATATGGGTTACTCGAAAAGGCTGGTTGTACTTATGAGGGAGGAGATTTTAAGGTTGATTTCTTTAAAGAAGGCCAAAAGAGTAATTTCATGCAAGTATATAGATAGGTTATACTATCTGATATGTTGTGTTTTTGACATATTACACACATACTTTGCATATCACTTTTGTGTTTTCCTGGAGTATACTTAGTGTGTTTTGAGTTATTTCAGGTATAGAACGAGTTGGAATGCACCAGAAGGAGCATATGGAAGAAAGAATGCAAAAACCAGAGTTTTCCATCGCAGAGCACCCGAGCGGAGCAACCCCCTGCTTG